TTTGTTGATAGAAATAATAATTTTTTTTTAAAGTTTCAAAAGTCTTGTGCAGGCTTAAAGAAAGGAACAGACTTACAAGGGCCATATTGGGGTCCTTGGAGTGTGAAAAGGAGAATAATTATAGTTAATTAAACGAAATTGAGACTATAATGACTAAAACAGAGATAAACTATAAAAAGCATTATTGTAAAGCAAAAGAATGAATAAATGATAGAATATTTTAATTTTTAAAATCAATTTCAAGCACACATATTTGTCTAAGTATATTTATAAGAATATACACAGCAGGGAATTGAGTAATTCCACAGGTGGGAACTGTATCAATTACAGGAAGAAGTGATGAGCACTAGTGAGCACACATTCAAGTATCTGACTCTACAAAGTCAACTGTGGTCTTTTGTGAGCCTTTTCTAATATTTATGTGATGATAATATGGCATGCAAAATTTTCCAGTAATGTTAATAGACAACATACAAGGTCTGTCCAGAAGATATCTAGCCATGTTATATAAAAAATAGAGACATTTACTGAAGAAGATACAAGAAAAATTGTACATAGGACAATGATGCCTCGATTCCCTTCAAAGTAGGCACCTTGGGAACTCACACAGTTCTCTCGTTCTTCATGGAGTGTCTTGTTATATTTTTCTGAATCTCACTGACAGTCTGAAATCTCTTCCCTTTTAAAGGTGATGTTAGTTTTGGGAAAAACCAGAAGTCACAGGGCACCAAATCTGGGTTTTAGGGGGATTGAGTCACCTGGGTGATTTGATATTTTTCCAAAAAACTCTGCATGAGATGTGATGCATGAGTGGATGCATTGTCCTGATGAAGCTGCCAATCATTAGTTGCCCATAGTTGCTGCCTTCTGAATCATCCAAAGACTTTCTGTGGAGAAATGTTCAAGCTTAATGCAAAATTTGATGCAGATTTGTTGCTCTACTCCCTCAATCATTTAAAATGCATCAACCACACAGTACATGTGCTCACTCAATGGTGTCTATCTCTCCCACCACTAGTACAGTGAAGTAGCCATGGTTCATGTATGCACATTACAGTCCACTCTCTTTTGCTGCCAGGTTACAGTGATGTGCAAATCATTCTCATTATATTAACAATGGCTGGATTTTTTTTACCCAGACAGACCTCATATATCTGCATGTATACATAATGATAAGACAATAGTGTATAACATTAATCACCCAAACCTCTTAAAGTGATTTTGGAGAAACATCATTTTTCAGAAGTTGTAGCCTGCTGGGCATCTCAGAATGTTGTACTTCTGTTCATTTGAGGGATGAGGTACCTTTATAGTATTTTAAACCTATTCACATATGTTGAAAGCCATTCGTTTTGCCAATAAATTATTTCTAACATTGCTAATGCTCATTATTAATACTCCCTATGGAAAGTAGAACTTATAGCAGTTGAAGTAAATGCCTTTTGACATGTCTATTGTTTTTGAAGCCATTTTCTTGCGTGACCATCATGTATTTAGAATGTCTGTGTAGGTAAATATAATCAATGATAATGCTGACAATAAGGTCACAGGCATAATACTTCTGAATATGTGACTGATGTGGACTCCGGCCAGCGGGGTCCGTGTGTTGTGACTGTGATGAACAAATTCACATTGACTACAGAAGTCCTGTGGAGAAAAAAGGATGGCATGGCCACTTTCTAAGTGAGAGAGGGCCCCGACCATTGCCTGGACAGGCTTTTATTACTTTTCTGGGCACATTACATTGAAGATGGTCCTCATTTGCTATGCACAGGTTCCCTTTATGTGATACCTTTTACAAATAACAAAGGAAAGAATTGCTTATGACATCAAAGAAAAGGATGTTTGCAAATCAAGGGGAAAAGTGGTTGAACTGGTTACACTCCATACTTGGGAGGTTTAGCACAGATTTTAGGAAGTTACTTTAAAGATATACAGTAAACCTTTGCTGCCTCAATTCAGGCTGAGAGAATTTTAGCAAACAGCAAGCCTCAAAGCAGCCTAGGTACAATGCAGGCCTGATTCCCCATGGGAGAACCTATCTGTGGGCCTGGGTCCTGTGTGCCGACTTGCTCCCTGACAGTTTTCCGAATCAGGCTATTCACCACTGCCATGCAGATAGGTTCCCTGTATGTGATAAAATTATATTAAGTTTAAATAATAGGTAACAGTGGAAGGAAATGAGTAAGCTGGAAGTTACAATATTGCAGAAAGTAGTTTCTGTTATTTTATGAATCGTGGGAGTTTCTACAATAACTTTTTTTGAGAAAAGTAACTTTAATATTCATATCTGAACTGTGATATACAAAAGTAATCATTTTCAGAACAAATTTTAAAATGGCTAGAGTAATTTCACAGAAAAATTTTCTAGAAATAACATAGTTCTGTTACATTTATAGAGTATGCCTAAAACAATATCAGAACATATGTATGGGGGCGGGGCAGAAACAGTGGGTAAAGGCAAAATTTAAAAATAGAAACAAAAACTTGTCGTTTGAGATCTCTCACCTTAAGCCTGAATGCTTCATGATCCCAAAGAATCCAACTATAACAAATTACCTCATAACTTGGTTTTGCTTTGCAATACAATACACTGGTTATATTCTCAAGTTGTATTAAGTTGCTTATACAAACTTAAAGTCACGAGCATGACTTCCGGATCTGTACTTTTTAAGTCGAGTGCCTTAACTAAGCAGTTTAAGGCCTCCAGTATTTTTCCACACTCCTTCAATCCTTTTTCATGCATTACAAGAGTTTCATAGTCATTCACAGCTTCTCCTGCCTTATCCTTATCCTGAGAGAGTCCACCACCCGTCCACCACACAAAAGCCCAGGGTCACCAGGAGAGGTCTCCTGAGCTAGAGCACCAGACTTAGGTGTAGTTACCCAGCTGGACTTATTTTCTGAAGACAGGGTTTCTCTGGAAGTTTCCTCTTCTGTAGTCTGAGGTTTCACCACTGCTTTCCTCAGTCCTTTCCTGCAGAAAATCTTCAGCTATCTTTGCTTCACTGTTGGTTTCAAGTCTTTACTCCATATTCTCCACGTGGTCTTAAACCCATATTAAATAAGAGACCTCCTAGAAGCGAGGGATCTTCTAGAGTTTACAGACTTATTTATACTATCAGCTATTTTAGATGAAAAAAACCGTCCAGAGGTTTGGAAGGTTTTACAGTAGGTTTTACCTTCCAAATGTTTTGAAGGTTTACATCAATACATCAAACCTGGATTGATGTCACTTTTGGGAGTTTGAAGCATCAAATTGTTTTACAGTAAGAACTGAAAGGGACATGTGTTGAATGGATTTGTGCTTGAAATATCTTTAAAAATATCATGTTCATCTTCACCATCTGAAACAATCCTTCTAGTTTTACTTCTGACCTTTATATTGACTACTTTTGACATCATCTTCCTCAGAAAAATCCATACCGAGCCCTGCTTTGCTATGTACAAACTCTGCTCTAGAATTAGTGGCAGAACCACACAAACTATTTTCTTTCTCAATGTGCTCTGAAGACTAACTGGCAAGATTTTGGTCATTGTCTGCAGAGTCTTCCAAGAGTCAGCCAGAGATGAGCGTGTTTCCATTAACAATTCCTTGATGTGATTTAAGGACACAAATTTCTTATATTTCTTCTTGTAGAGGTACAACGTGTATTCAAATAATTAAATCACTTTTCCTGGAGAGGGAAGGAATTTCATAAATGGCATCAACATCTGGATTCTTTTCACAGGGTATGACCTCTGAGTTACTTGACTTTTTCTTCTGTACCTCTTCTTTAGTCCTCCTGAGAAAATAGGGTTTTATGATTGCCATTAAGTTTTCGGATATTTTAAATCCCAAGGCTTTTCCCCCTGGAGTTGCATCCTTTTCTCTTGCTCTAGCAATAGGATTTTCATACTCCATTTTAAAGGTTTTTAATGTTCCTAACAGAGACCCTTGACAAGCAAAATCAAACATGGACTGCAGTTCTTGTAAATTATTCTGGACAGGGGTTCCTGTGAGGAGGACGCGGTTACTGGCAGGGACGACACGAGCACATGTCGTTTGTTGATTTAGTAGATGAAGATTTTATTTTATGTCCTTCGTCAAGAATGACAGAGTCCCACAAAAACTCTTGACCATTCAAGGTTGAAAGTTGCTGCCAATTATTGATTAACCTTTGGTATGTAGTGATAATGACACGATTCCTTTGCTGAATCCGACTGAGGTTTCTGGTATGTTCATCCTTACTAGGACCATGAAAGGTTCTGACTCTCGTTCCTGGAGTCCACTTGGCAAATTCTTTTACCCATGTGCTAATAAGACTGGTTGGCATGATCAGCGGCACATGATTTACAAGTGAGGCATCAAATATACCAGAAAGGAAATTGATGATTTGAACAGTCTTCCCCAATCCCATATCATCTGCCAAGATACCACCTTTTTTTCCCATATCTGTATAGGCTGCATAGGAAAGCTATGTCTTTGTATTCAAATAGTTGGTCCTGCAGTTCTGGATAAAGCAGCAGGCCAGAGTTGCACACATCTGTGAAGTCATCATCTTCATGGTCTGCCAACTCCTCCAAGGCTTCCTGTAGTTTTTGGATTCTGCTCATCAGCTTTTCATTGGGAAAAATATCCTTTGACAAATGGAAAAGTTTAAATGCTTTTTTCAGATCTCTATTCTTAGTTGCTTCTTTGGCCTCTTTCACATATCTCAGGTAAAGGGCAGCCTCCCCAGGGGCTTAGAGCCTCGGCTTCCACAAACCCCTTGGGAAGCCTCCATGACTTTCAGTTTAGGTCCCAGGAATCTCCGCCAGAGATTGAATTTCGCTTGGTTCCACCCTGCTCTACAATAGCTTTGACAGGCATGATTCACAGAGTCTAACTCCAAATCCTTATTTGCGGTCTTATCACCTGGGCCGGACTACAGTTCCCAGAAGGCAACGCTCTGCTTCCTTAACTCCCTCCCTTAGTTGGCGGGATTTGTAGTTTACAGAACGAAGTGTCATATCGAGTTTTACGCACTTGTCAGCAAGGACTTGGCTGTAAAGCCCTCTTCTCCATCCACGTCGTCTCACGGGGCGATAGTTCGTATTTCCGAGCCTAATCTTTGTACCTGGCTGGCCCGGAAGCTGGAGGTCCCACGGCGGGCAGGGCGCTCTAGGTCAAGCGGTTCTCGTCTCTATGACCACAGGAGGCGGCGCCGGGTGTTCTAAACAGCGGACTGGGAGGCGGTAGGAGTCAGTTCAGCCGGCGGCTGTCGCGGGAACATGGCAACCGTAAGAGGTGAGGCGGCGGTGGAGGTGGGTATGCGGGGAGGCCCGCAGGACTGGGAAGCCAGCGTGGGGCGGTGGCAGAAGAGTTTTGGCGCTACTCGCCAGCTGTCGGTGGCCCGGGACTCTGGGCGCTCCGGGGCTAGTCCGAGGTGCTGGGCTCTGGAGTTTGTGTCGAAGCTCTGCCGACTGAGTCCGCAGCGCGCTTCTCAGGGCAGCGAGGGGCAGCCGGACTCCCGCTGCGGCTGTCTTCGGGGCCGCGGACTCTGCGCGGGACAGTTTCGAGGCTCCAGGCTGCATCGGCCTCAACTAGCTGGTGGTGCGTGGGAACCAGATTCAGACAGGCCCGGGCTCCGCCAGGCCCGGAGAGGGCTCAGGGCACAGACCCGCATCACCCAGCGGGAGGCAGGACCGGTTGCTGCCTCCATCGAGGTCACCACGCCTGCGGTCTCAGCTGCACCTCGGGCGCCTGGGATGCTCGGACGCTTCAGGGCACACTGACGATGTAGAAAGCAGTCTTTAACAGAGTTTCTCCCAAGGACAGTATTGTTTGTGGTTAGGAGGAGGAGCACGGATATTTTGGGTAGAAGGTGAGATTCATCCCCGCCCCCCCAACCCCGTGCAGGAATGGCAGATTAGAGTAATACTATTTGATGACTGATTGTCATTTCCTGAAGGTGAGTCTCAGTAACTCCATAGCTCTTTGTTTTCCTGAGTAGGGGAAGTTAGGATTAGAGCTGAATTTCTTGAGGGTAGAGCAGTAGCCAGGAGAAGCTGGGTGACACCCGATTCTTTCTTCACCCTCCTCCTCTGAATAAGTATTGAACAAATATTTGAAGAGCATCTTCTGCATGGGTGCCAAATTAGTTTCCTGGTTTCGTTGTCCGCATTTAACATGTAAGCCCTGCCCAGGGGCATTGGCTTAGTTTCATTTGCTTCTCTCACGCATTCTCCCAACCTTAAAAGCCTTTTATTTATTTATTTTTATAGCAACACAGGAAATAAAACCCAGAATTGTTTTGATAAGTAACAGAATGGGAACAGCATGATTAATGATGAGCGAGACTTTAAAGGAGTCCAAGTCATTATCTGAAATAGTTGCAACAACTTACTGATTTAGGCTATTGCCAATACTTATTTGTTGTGCCTCGGTCGTTTTAGAAATCTTATATGCCCTCTAGATTTGCATAATCATAACAAAATTGCAGTTGTCATAGCTTTCTGATATTCACAAAGGATTGATTTGAAACTTACTGAATTTCCAGGTTCTTGGGTATTACAGATAATGTCCCATGTAAAATATAACAACAACAAGAACAACAAAAATAACTTCAGATCCTGAATTTCTGTTGGGGAACGTTTTCTACACAGAAACAATGTGTGGGAGCTAATGGGAACTTCATGAGAAAAAGAAAACAACGCGGATGTGCTAATAAGCCAATTCAACAATGCAGTTGAGTTGTAGGCTAGGTTTATAGTTTCTGGCCTTGGGCATGATGTGAAAACAGAATATACAGTGAATACATGAGACGAACTTTTCATTCTACCTTGAAAAAATTGAAATTGCTAATAATTGAAATTTCATAGTTGGAGAATTTGTGAATGGATTGAAGAAGAACTGTATGGATCCAATGTTAAACTGAAATTAGAGAAAATAATACTAAAAGCATTAAGTATTTTTTAAAAGTTTGTTTTGTAAATGGATGCCATACCAAAGCCCTATACGTTTTACAAGTGTCAAAACTTATTTGTTTGCTCATTCATTTAGATCAGCAGTTATTTTCAAGAATATAATATATATTCCTATAAAAGTACTATGCAAATAGGTATACTTTCACAGTTGATGACAATGATAACTCTAGGTCTGAATATACTTGCAGGCTATACATACTTGGTTTAGTGTTTAAACATTCACTATGTTCTTTGGGGGATAGTTTTCAGTTTGGCAGTCCTAACCTGTCTTATTTATGAAAGTGTGGGCAATCTAGGGGTCAGCACTTTCATAAATATGGATTGGCAGTTTTTTCTGTAAAGTACTGGATGTCATTACTAGTCATCTCTGCCGTTGCAGGACAAAAAGGTAGCCATAAACAATTTGGAAACAAATGAGCATGGCTATGTTCCAATACTGCTTTATTTATGGATTCTAAAATTTGAATCTTTCATATAATTTGTAGGTTTCACAAAAGGTTATTTTAAAAGTTTTTTTATTCCCATTTGGCTGGTGTGCCTAAGTTGGTAGGAGTGTTGTCCTATACACCAGAAGGTTAGGGATTGAATTCCAGGTCAGTGCACATACTTAGGTTGCCACTTCGATTCCCAGTTGGGGTGCTTAGGAGAGGCAACCAGTTGATGTTTCTCACATTGATGTTTCTCTCCCCTTCTCTCTCTCCCCCTCCCCCTTCTCTCTAAAATCAATAAATATATTTTTAAAAATTTTGAAGTTTTTTCCCAACTATTTAAAAATATAAAATTATTTTGAATTTGCAGGCTTATAAAAATGAGTGCTGAAATGTAATGCGCTCACCCCTGATCTAGGAAATAGGAAATGCTTTCTCCTTTACTGAGTAACTAAAGTTTATTGCTGTTTGTTTTTGAAGTTATATACTTTTCTGATGCGGACTCTGGCCAGCAAGGTCCATGTATTGTGGCTGTGATGAACAAATTCACATTGACTACAGAAGTCCTGTGGAGAAAAAAGGATGGCATGGCCACTTTCTAAGTGAGAGAGGGCCCCGACCATTGCCTGGACAGGCTTTTATTACTTTTCTGGGCACATTACATTGAAGATGGTCCTCATTTGCTATGCACAGGTTCCCTTTATGTGATACCTTTTACAAATAACAAAGGAAAGAATTGCTTATGACATCAAAGAAAAGGATGTTTGCAAATCAAGGGGAAAAGTGGTTGAACTGGTTACACTCCATACTTGGGAGGTTTAGCACAGATTTTAGGAAGTTACTTTAAAGACATACAGTAAACCTTTGCTGCCTCAATTCAGGCTGAGAGAATTTTAGCAAACAGCAAGCCTCAAAGCAGCCTAGGTACAATGCAGGCCTGATTCCCCATGGGAGAACCTATCTGTGGGCCTGGGTCCTGTGTGCCGACTTGCTCCCTGCCAGTTTTCCAAATCAGGGCTGGGCTACATTTGCCACTGCCATGCAGATAGCTTCCCTATACTTTTCCTTTGTGTGGGAAAGTTTTAGAACAAAGAAAGTATGGTAGTGATCTTCACTTTCACATAGAAATTGCTTTTTAGCCTCTCATATCTTTTGAAAAGAAACTTTAAGTAGATACAAGTCCTTTTTCTTCTGTTCTATCACATTACTTTTTATAATAGTTAAAACTTTTTTTTCATTCTAAGGTTTGTTTTCATAGTTTTTAATGAGATTTGAGAGCTGTGATTTAATTGCTTAATTGATTAGTATAAAAGAATGGCATTTGATGTTAGCAAGTAACTCAACATTTATATTAATTAAATATTATATTTTCCTTCTGGTATAGTAGTTCAGTAGTTTACAAATGATTAACAATCAAGACCAAAGTTTTAAAGGTTATGGCTATTCTTATTAATCTCTTACACGTTACAGTTCTATACAAAAGGAAAATGCAATTCATTTTTTTCTCTTTAAAAGTTATTGTTCAAGTACAGTTGTCTCCACCCCCTCCCCCACTACTCCCACCCTTGATCCTATCCTTCTTTGGCTTTGTCCGTGTGTCCTTTATACATGTTTCTTGATACCCCTTCTCTGCCTCCCCTCCAGTTATCACCTTCCCCTGCTCTGGTTACTGTCAGTTTGTTCTTAATTTCAGTGTCTCTGGTTATGTTTTACTTGCTTCTTTGTTTTGTTAATTAGGTTCCAGTTAAAGGTGAGATCATATGGTATTTGTCAGATCGTTTGTCATATGGTATTTGCCTGGCTTATTTCACTTACCATAATGCTCTCTAGGTCCATCCATGCTGTTGTGAAGGGTAGGAGCTCCTTCTTTCTTTCTTCTGTGTAGTATTCCATGGTGTAAATGTACCATAGTTTTTTAAACTGATAAGAACAGATACTACACTTGATCTTAGCCAAAAGGCCGAGAAGTGATGTAGAATAGTTTTTTGATCCACTTATTTTAAGTTGCTTCTAGCACTTGGCTATTGTAAATTGTGCTGCTATAAACATTGGGGTGCATAGGTTCTTTTGAATTGGTATTTCAGGATTATTAGGATATAATCCCAGTGGTGGAATTGCCAGGTCAAAAGACAGTTCCATTTTTACTTTTCTGAGGAAATTCCATTCTGTTTTCCACAGTGGCTGTACCAGTCTGCATTCCCACCAGTGGTGTGCTAGGGTTCCCTTTTCTCCACCTCTTCAGCACTTGTTTGTTGATTTATTCATGATGGTCATTCTGACTGGTGTGAAGTGGTATCTCATTGTGGTTTTTATTTACATCTCTGATGGCTAATGATGCTGAGCATCCTTTCATATTTCTCTGGGTCCTCTCTGTGTCCTTCTTGGAGAAGTTTCTGTTTAGGCGCATTGCTCATTTTTTTTTTTTTTTTTTATCAGATCGTTTGTCTTCCTGGAGTGAAGTCATGTGAGTTCTTTATATATTTTGGAGATCAAACCCTTGTCTGAGGTGTCATTGGCAAATATAATTTCCCATATGGTTGGTTCCCTTTTCATTTCAATGCTGTTTTCTTTAGCCATGCAGAAGCTTTTTATTTTGATGAAGTCCTGTTTATTCTTTCCTTTATGTCCCTTGCTCTAGGGTATTGCTGCATGGAGTATCTGAGATTTTCCTACCTATGTTCTCCTCTGGCACTTTTGTGGTATCGCAACTGAAATTTAAGTCTTTTATCCATCTACAATAGTTAACACTTGATATAACTTAAAAAATTGTCTACAATTTACAAATAATTCTTTAATTATTCCCAGGGATACATGAATATTGAAGAACCTGTAACTTTATAAGTTCTTGCTTTACATAATCTGAAGGCAATTTGTTTGGAACTCTCATTTTATTTCCCTACGAAAGTCGCCTCTAAATTGTATTAGGCTCCCAAAGCAGTGGACAAAAGCGTACCTAGTGCATATTATAGTTACAGTAGCAGCTCAGAGTCACCCTGTGCCCCTCTGATTCTTATACTGGTTGTCAAAGTATGACCCACTGGCCAAATCCAGCCTGTCATTTGGTTCATTTGTTTTTCGTGTAGCCCATGATCTAAGAATGGTTTTTATAGATGAGCATTTGCAATTGATTTGATGAAGCACTACTCCGAAGATCAATGAAACAAAATCTTATCCCTCAAAATAATTCTATTCTCAATAGCAGACCTATATTCTAAAACATTGTACTCAATTGTTACATTTTAAATTTGTCAAAAAATTGTTTTCTTTTATTACTTAAGTACCAGATGGTATTCCTGATTTTGCCTTGCAGGTGGAAAAGTGTAAAATATTTACTACTTATGCTTTACAGAAAAATTTTGCTGATTCTTGTTAGCCTTAGCCTGAAGATTTGAAACGTTAGGGATGAGGGGTGAGAGGTTTGTAAAGACCAGTAGGAATAGATTGAGCCTTGGGTGATGGCAGCACCAGAGTAAGGAAGTATGAGGGAGACCTGGTACTCCAGGGCTTGGGCTTTTATTGAATGTGTTGGACTCACCCTGGTGCCTGAATGAGGGCCACTGCTCACATAGACTTGCAAGCTTAAATTGAGTTTATATAAGTTGTGCATATTCTGGTTTAAAGTTTTATTTATTTATATTATATATATTTTAAGATTTTATTTTTTTAGAAAGAGGGAAAGAGAGGGAGAGGAACATGTGTGTGGTTGACTCTCGCATGCACCCTACTGGGGTCTGTTCTGCAACCCAGACATGTGCCCTGACTAGGAATCGAATCACAGCTCTGGTTGGCAGGCTGGTGCTCAATCCACTGAGCTACATTGTAAGTTTTATATGGGCTTTATTCTTAATACTCTTTTCTTTAGTTACAAAGTATTATTTTCTACAATGATATGAGAGGCAACATGAGAGGTTTATCTTTTTAAAGCTATGAGAGGCTTATTTTTTTATTATGATAAAGTTTTATATTATATTTCACATTTAACACTCAATCATTCCTTTTGTTTTCTTTTTGCTGTCTTTAAATTTAGAATATACTTTGCTGTAATTTGTTTTCATCTTTTCATGCTTGCTTTTACAAATTTGAGTTATAAAGATATGTAAAGTATGTAATTTATGACATTTCAAACTTGTAATTTATAATATCCCAAGCTAGAGTCAGTCTTGCAATTGAGTCATTCCCAGGGAAGAAAATTAATGCCTAACCAGTTAATATTCAAAGTCAACACAGAATGTTTTGTGTATGTATTTTTTTATATTCAGGTAATTGTAAGGTATTGTTTTGAAATAAACTTTTAAATATCATGGGTTTAAAAAGTTATTTTGTACTTGAAATTAGAAAATATTCTGAGATATAATGTTGATTAAATTTTATATACATTAATATTGTCTACTAAATAATATCTTTGTTGCACATATTTTTCAGAAAATGTCAGTTTATTATTCAAGTTATACTGCCTGACAGTGATGACCCTGGTGGCTGCAACTTACACCATAGCTTTAAGATATACAAGGACGTCAGACAAAGAACTGTACTTTTCCACCACAGCCGTGTGTATCACAGAAGTTATAAAGTTATTGCTAAGTGTGGGAATTTTAGCTAAGTAAGTATTATTACTTTTTAGTGTGTTAAATTATTTCTCCACTCAAGATATTTTCGTGATGAGAAAAATCAAGCTACATTTTTAAATATTTTTGATTGCTCTAGAGCAATGTTTCTCACTTGGGGTGATTTTGATCCCCAGGAGGTATTTTTGGTTGTCCCAATGTGGGGGGTGCTACTAGCATCTGGTGGGTAGGGACCAAGGATGCTTCTGAACACCTTACAATGTACAGGACAGCCCTCCACAGCAAATAGCTATCTGGCCTCCAGTATGAGCAGTGCCAGGAAGTTGAAGAACCCTGCTCTAAAACAGGGGTTGGCAAGCTGTGGCCTGTGGGTCAAATCGAGCTTGCTGCCTGTTTTATGTTGTAACAGAGACTGTAACTCACAAAAGCTAATTTCTGTGCCACTTGACCCTTAAAAAATTTGCTGACCTCTGTATTAGAGGAATATAATAATAATAGTTAACATCTCTTGTTTTTCATGGTGCTAGGCACTGTGCTATGCACTTTTCATTAAATTATCTCATTTAATCTTTGTATTATTAGGTATGTACTGCAGTTACCTCCTGTTTTACCTGTATAGTATCTGAGGTCTTCGATGTTGCACTGCAAAGATGTGGCAGCACTGGACTTTGAATCAATAACATCGTATCAGAATCATTTTAGCTAAGGATGCAGTGTAAAAGAGGGTTAAGAATAGGGGCTCGGAAGTGAGACATCTGATTCTCATCGTAGCCTCACTGGGATTATGACTTACACACATTTCTTCCTCTCTAAGCTTTAGTTCCTTCATTTTTTAATTGGAGAAAAAAGTAGGGTTATGAGAATTGATTAAAATTCTGTAGGAAATTACTGAGGGAGAGATTTATGATGCGGGACCCATCTGGGACATTCGGGCAGGTGAGAGTTTATGTAGGTTTCAAGATGTGAATTGGTGAGAACAGAGGACCAAAGAGGAGTAGCATGTGTTGGAGTTGAGGTAGAAACAAATTACACTGAAATTTTATTTGACAAATATTTATTAAGTGATTTCTATGTGACAGTTTTATAATATGTACTGAATGTGCAGGTATGAATTAAATAGATATGGTTCCTGCTTGATTGGAATGTAAGTTTAGTGGACAAGACAGAAAAATCAGTAAATACACATGTGATTACAAAAAATCCTGTGGGAAAAATACTGTAAACATGGCTTGGGGAGGGGGAAAAGAATAGAAAAACAACTTGAGGCCAAATGGTGGGAAGCTTTAATATATTGGAGCTTAAAATTTATCTCACAGGCAGAAATACTGTGGTACCCTAACTTGTTAGGTTGCAAATAAGGTAAAATCTCAGACCTTTCAGTTTCTTAACAAAATTCATTTTTATTGATATTTGGCTTTCATTAAGGGATTCTTCACTTTGGATAATGTCAGCTAGATGAAAGACCTTATTGTACCTTTAAAAGGAAGAGTTCCAAAGCCAAAGGTCTCTATGTTTAATATGTCAGAACTGTTTCCATATAACAACCTAAGAGGTAAGAAATTAATAAAATCTTAAGGTCTAATTTCTTTTAAGACAAATATAGGGTTGTTGGAGGAAGAGGGATAGGGTGACACATTTCTACTCTTTATTTCTTAAATTCTGTAGGAAATTGTTCTTTAATTGTTGAGAATTTAAAAAGACAATATGCAAAACGAGCAAGAGACCTTTGGTGTAACTCAGCAGTTGGCCTGTCTTCTGCCAATCCAGCTGCACTGATGTTTTTTCTGTTTTGATGTTTTTCCAGCTTTGTATTGCTTGGTGTATAGTATTTCCAATTCTTTAGCTATTCATTTATGGGTATGGTCAGTTATAGTTTGTTATGTGGAAACTGCTTTGAAATTATATTAAAATACAAGTACAAAAATTTCAGTAATGTCTCACAAAAGTCAAATAATGATGTTGAAATAACAAGTTTAGAAAACCAATTGTGTACTATATCAGCATCATTATCAGTAACTAGTTGCTGTTTCTGTCACCAACATAATATACAGGCTCTTTTGTGGACACTTACCTGGGAGTGTCCAGGGGCAAGAGGAAAAATTAAAGAAGTCTGATTAGTTTGGTGGTTGGCATTTCACATTATGTGACTAACAAGAATTTGGTTGTGAAGAAGACTCATTTAAAACATTTAAAACACAAGGAGTTTCTAACTGGAAAAAGCACTGGAAAAAATTATAAAACATGAAAAAAGTGCAGTGCACTTGAAATTACTGGATTTTAAAATGAATATGATTTTTATGGAGAAATGATGGCAAATTTTCATGTATTCAAATCACATTGGTAGAATCTGAATACTTGTTATTCATAATAAAAATATTTTATTTCTTGGAATAAAGAGTTTACTTTTAAGAAGGCATCTATGAAAATGTTAATTTCCTAGAACGATAAAAGTAAAAGATATAGCAGAATTATTCCAGCCTATGAGGTAGCAGATGGGTACCTACAAAATGAAATGGAAGAGCATTCTGATTGCTTCTTTGGCTTCTTCAACAACATGTGATGAGACAATTGATTTAATGAAACGAAAGCATGGCCACCAGCTTGGGAAAGATAGATACCCAGTGAAAATGGTGAAAGTTGATTCTAGATCTGGGGAGGACAGTTGGTTTGTGATAATTAATCTGAAGCAGTGTGGAATAGGGAAAAGATGAATAAAATCCATGGCCAGTGTATTGGGCCACTGAGAATGAACTGAACAATGAGTCGCAGCAAATTAAAGAGCCTAGAACTTTCCATATGTCTTTTCTGTTTCATCATGTGAAGTTTGCAACAAAGTAAAAGATTTTCTAGATATTCTCCATGCAGTTGCTTTGTACACATATTAAAATTGGTAGTTAAAAAAGTAAGTGAATCAAAGGCAAGTAGGATATTACATAGCTTGTCAAAAAACACGTTGGATGTCAGTGCATTGTTTGCTCTTCGAGTTTAAAGAGCAAATAGACTTTTTGATGGAGAAACTTATAAATATCAAAAACATTAGTTATTTGAAAATTTTTTGAGTTGATTTGTTATATACAAAGTTAACTAAAATTGATTTCATATTTTTGTATTTATCTTTGTTTGAAAATTCTTTACTACATAATGTTGAACTAATTATTTTCATAGTAGAAGCAATACTTTAAAAAAATATTTTATTGATTATGCCATTACAGTTCTTCTATTTCCCCCTTCATTTCCCTCCACCCTGGACACCCCTCCCCCACCATTCTCCCCCTTTAGTTTATGACCACGTGTCTCAAGTTCTTTAGATTCTATATTTCCCATACTATTCTTGCCCTCCCCCTATCTATTTTCTACCTACCGTCTATGCTACTTATTTTCTGTACCTTCTCCCCCTTTCTCCTCCCACTCCCCTGTTGCTAACCCTCCATGTGATCTTCATTTCTGTGGTTCTGCTCCTGATCTAGCTGTCCTCTTAGTTTGCTTTTATTTTAGGTGTGGTTGTTAATAACTGTGAGTTTGCTGTCCTTTCACTGTTCATCTTTTTTATCTTCTTTTTCTTAGATAAGTCCCTTTAACATTTCATATAATAAGGGCTTGGTGATGATGAATTTCTTGAATTTGATCTTATCTGAGAAGCACTTTATCTGCCCTTCCATTCTAAATGAAAGCTTTGCTGGATAGATCAATCTTGGATGTAGGTCTTTGGATTTCATGACTTGGAATACTTCTTTCCAGCCCCTTCTTGCCTGTAAGGTCTCTTTTGAGAAATCTGCTGACAGTCTGATGGGAACTCCTTTGTAGGTGACTGTCCCCTTATCTCTTGTTGCTTCTAGGATTCTCTCCTTGATTTTAATCTTGGCTAATGTAATGATGATGTGCCTTGGTGTGTTCCTTCTTGGGTCCAACTTCTTTGGGACTCTCTGAGCTTCCTGGATTTCTTGGAAGTCTATTTCCTTTGCCAGATTGGGGAAATTTTCCTTTATTATTTGTTCAAATAAGTTTTCCACTTGTGGCTCTTCCTCTTCCCCTTCTGGTACCCCTATAATTTGGATGTTGGAATGTTTTAAGATGTCCTGAAGGTTCCTAAGCCTCTCCTCATTTTTTTGAATTCTTGTTTCTTCATCCTTTTCTGTTTAGTCATTTTTTTTCCTCTTTCTGGTCCACTCCTTTGATTTGAGTCCCAGTTTCCTTTCCATTACTATTGGTTTCCTGTGCATTTCCATTCATTTCAATTAGTTTAGCCTTCATATGTTCCTCTAATTTGTGACTATAATCAACCAGTTCTGTGAGCATCCTGATCACCAGTGTTTTGAACTGTGCCTCTGATAGGTTGGCAATTTCTTGTTCACTAAGATTTATGGGCTCTGGGGCTCTGAGTTGTTCTTGAGCCATGTTTTGATCTGTTCCTGCCTGTTAGGTATAAGGAGCCGCAGAGCCTTAGGTGTTCACCAGGGTGGGACTACCCAGGTCGCTGGTTTGTGACGTTGTATGTGGGGGCGGGTCAGAGAGAGGCCAAACCAGGTCGCTGGTTTGTGACGTTCTATATGGGGGCGGGGTCAGAGAGGGACAATGGTGGTCCCCTCTGCTGCTTCCCGCCGCTGGGGCCTGCATGGTCTGTCTCACTGCTCCCTCCTTCACTGGTTTATCTGCATGCGAATGTGTGACTGTGGTCAGCACTCAGTGGGTCCGCCGCCTTGCACCGGGCTGCCTTGTGCCGGGCTTGCTCAGTGGGTCTGCCTGCTACTCCACACCTGGGATCCACCTGCGGCTGCTGGCGCACCTGAGTAGAGTGCCATGGTCGGTCCGGTGGATCCTTCCTGTCCGACCCCGCTCTGCTGCTGGCTCTGCTCCTCTTACCGGTTTGGCTGAAGGGTTTGTTGTTGTCAGACTTCCGTATAGTTCAGTTTTCTGTGGTTTGGCTGTGTTTTTGTTGCTAAAACTTTGTTGTTTTTAAACTTGGTTGTGTGAGAAGGCGCAGTGCTTCCACCTACGCCTCCATCTTGGCGGAAGTCTCTAGTAGAAGCAATACTTT